CAATTCAAAGTCAACAACTCTTCTTTAGTTTTCCAAATACATTGTCCAGCTTTCATGTGCATATGAGGCTATTGAAAATACCATGGCTTGGGTCAGACTTACTTTTGTCATCAAAGTGATCTTCACTCATTACAGGACTGTATAATCTTTTTGCCTCAACTAAAGTGTCTGCACTAACAACCAATGGCAGTTGAGGCTTAGGTAGGTAAGGTGGAACCAGAGGATGGATCAGCCTTCTCTGCAACCTTCAGCCAGAGCCCAGGGTCAAAGAAAAACAGACATCATTGTAGTGGATGAACTTGTTCCTTTCGCTCCTCCACTTTTCCAGGGAGAGTCTCCTAGGTGTGGCAGCTGGGATGATGCTCTAATTCCACTCTTGGCTGCTCATGCAATATCTCTGTGCTGTCCTTTCCCTCCTTACTTTAATTTATATAGAAACTATCACCTCTGAGAGCACTGCTGGTCCCTGGGTGGTCCAAAATGGTTTGCAATCAGCTCTAAGCTAAAGGTTGCATTACAATCCAGTAGCATTACAGAAGAAAGGCCAGGTGATCTGCTTCCATAAATATTCCAGCCAAGAAAACCCTGTGGAGCAGTTCTCCTCTATAACACATGGGATAGCTAGCCATGAGTTGGAGCTGACTGAGGGCAATGGGTTTGGTCTTTTTTAAGAGTATTGATATTTTTATTCCTCAATTTACAAGGTTTCTCAAGGATATACAAACTGCTAATTGGTGAATTTCTAGGAAAATTTTTAACTTTGATAACTCATATCACAAGTGACCACATTCTAGATCATTTATATTGTGGCTAAGCTTCTTTACTCTTGGCTAAGAGTAGAACTTTCTGGAAAAACTCCTGAATTTCTTTCTAGGTGTTCAAATATTGGAACTGTTCTTAGTTTATTGAATTATATTGTCATCTAGCTCAAGGCCCAGATTACTCAGAGGTGTAAAAGAGCTTCATTTATTCATTCATTCACTTACTCAACAAACATATATAGGCAGTCCCTGATTTACCATGTATTTGAGTTACAAGAAACTGTATTTAAAACTGTTTATCTGGAACATTGTATCTTCATGGGAGGAAGTTAGAGGAAAATGCATGAAGGGGATATGGAAAAAATTGCAAAAGTCAGTAGGCAGATTTGGGAAGCAGTGAGATGTTATTGTGTAACATATGAAGAAAAAAAAGAAAAGGATCATACAGATAACTCTTATTAGTTTTCTGATTAGAAACTCCATCCTCATTCCCAAGGATAATTCAGATGATCCAGAGCCTTCCGCAAATGGAGTTATTACTACAACTGACAAAACTTCATCCCCAAAGTAAATCTTTTATGATAAGCATATTTTTATGCATGTATTACAGTATACCTGTTGGTTAATATGTGATGCTTCTAACTCCCAAAGACAAATAAAGTCAGAATTTATAAAGGTACTGATAACAAAAGGCAATAATAATGAAAACTAAAAAAAAGTATTTGACTTATGCCAGAATCAACTTAAAATGGAATTGTTGGAACAGACTACCTGTAATTGAACACCTGTATGTGCCAGGGGACTAAAGTCAGTAATAATGTTGTTGTTGTTGTTATGTGCCATTGAGTCGGACCCGACTCATAGCGACCCCTCCTTGGGTTTCCGAGGCAGTATCACTACGGAAGTAGATTGCCCCATCTTCCTTCCGAGGAGTGGCTGGTGGGTTTGAACTGCCAGCCTTCTGGTCAGCAGTCAAGTGCTTTAGGCACTATGCTACCAGAGCTCCCAGTAATAATAGTTAACACTTATTTAAGAGTTTCTGGGTGGCATAAACAGTTATACCCTCAACTGCTAGCCAAAGGTTGGCTGTTCAAACCCACCAAGAGATGCCTTGGAAGATACACTGGTGATCTGCTTGCAAAAGGTCACAGCCTTGAAAACCCTGTGAAGTGTTACTCTGCACACATAGGTAATCATGAGTTGGAATTGACTTGATGGCAACTAATAATAACAAACACTTATTTAACATTTATTATATAGAAGGGAATGTGTAAATAATGTATTACTTTATTTAACCTTCAATAATCCTATGTAGCTCTATTATGATGCTTCTATGTAAGTAAAGAAACTTAGAGACATTAAGTAACTTGATCAAGAATGCATAGTTAATAAATGGTATGAGTTGGATTTGAATCTAGGCAGGTTGGATGTGGGGTCAAACTGCCTGAATTGCATGCCATGCTCTTAAATATTATATAGTGAAGTTCCTGCCCAACAAGAAATTACAGAGCAATACAAGGGTATTGGTTCTTTTAAGTGTGTTTTGTGATTTCAACTGTCTAACCAAGACCAAGCAAACTTCCAGAATCAAGTAATATGCATAGCTTCCCTAGCTAGATATTGGTCTTAAACCGTAACTCAAAATTGAGTTAAAATTATATAATTTCATCACAGGAAAGAAAAAAATCACTAGTTGTTGGGGAAAAAAATTCCAAGATATTTTTGACACTTAAATAGTGGAAAAACATGGTTAATAATTTCTCTTGTAAACTTCCCTCCCTCAATTTCCCACTCCTGCTATAGATGTTCTAAGATTTTTCACTTCATATATTTTCTTATGTTTATTAACCTAGTAGAACAGTTATGATGAATGAAGAATAGTTTCCAAGCCTGGTGTATTTCCAAAGAATCCTAGAAACTTGCTATCAGTTTTTTATTCATAATACACATCTTACTGTTTTCTTCATATTCTGCTGTAATCTTTCATCCTGTACCAACACTAATCACTCAGGTCTGTGGGCCAGATATTTATTCCCACTGCTACAAGGCTGCAAAGAGTGGAGAGAGGAGATGAATGTTTGATAGCTGACCTCTCCCTGGGTCTGTATTTACAGATAGACCAGGATAAGTAGACCCTTGACCTCAGTGTGGATGTCAATTTGAGTACCTTTGCAACACTGTAGCCCTGAAATGTTGAGAAATGCTAAGCCAGAATTATAAGCAGCTGCAATAATGATATAGTGGAGACAGAGCCAGGGATATTTCAAAGGTAGACCCTGTAGCCGGGCTCTGGGAAGAATGAGAAAAAGAAAAAGGTGCTTACTTCTGCAGTTAATGGTGTTGTTGTTATGTGCCGTCGAGTCGGCCCCTACTCATAGGGACCCCTCCTTGGGTTTCCGAGGCAGTATCACTACGGAAGTAGGATTGCCCAACCTTCCTTCCGAGGAGTGGCTGGTGGGTTTGAACCGCCAGCCTTCTGGTTAGCAGTCAAGTGCTTTAGCCACTATGCTACCAGAACAGTTAATGGTGTGAATGAATGCATATATATAGATAAGGACAATCGTCTTCCTTCTGAATCAAACAGGGCACCAATCACTATAAAACTACCATTCTGTAAAATGCCAGTAGGTGGCAGCATATAAGTGTAAAGATCAAATCCATCACATGATTTTCTAAAAAGAGAGCTTATCAGTAGTTTTATTTTCAGAGAGCTCTAATTTCTCCTAAAAAAAAAAAAAAAAAAAAAAACCAAAACAAACAAGCAAAAAACACTGCTATTGAGTGGATTCTGACTCATAGCAGCCCTGCAGGACAGAGAAGAACTGGCCCATAGTGTTTCCAAGGCTGTAAATCTTTACAGAAGAAGACTGCCTCATCTTCTCCTGTGGAATAGCTGGTGAGTTTGAACAGCCAGTGGTGCTGTGGTTAATGCATTGGGCTGCTAATCAAAGGATCAGTGGTTCAAACCCATTAGCCATATTGTGGGAGAAAGATGAAGCTATCTGTTTCTGTAAAGATTTATAGCCTTATGGTGGCAGTTCCACTCTGTCCTATAGGGTCACTGTGAGTCAAAATTGACTCAATGGCAGGGAATTCAATTTCTCCTAGTTTGGTTCATTTTTCATTATGCCATAGGAATTCTTTCTAAAATATGATCTAATCGATGTTCTATTCCTTTCCTTATAAACTTCTGATGACTTCTCATGATCTACAGGATGAAAGTTTAAAGCCTGCAACATGGAATTCAAGATCCTTTACAATCTAGCCCTATTGCAACTCTCCTCACTCACTCACTGCTGTCGAGTCGGAAGGGAAATAGATTGCCCAATCTTTCTTCTGAGGAGTGGCTGGTGAGTTTGAACCACCAGCCTTCTGGATAGCAGTCTAATGCCTTAGGCATTACACCCTAGAGCTCCTATTCATTCCCCTGACCTCTTTCCACTCTTATCCTCTCCGTATCTCCCACACGTCCTACACTCCAGCTGCCCAGAATTTCAGAGGATCCCAGGAGAAACTAGGCAGTTTGAAATCCCTATGATTTAGCATATGCCGTTTTCTGCTTGAAATGACTTTCCTCTCCTTTCATGGAAAACCACTGTTCCCACTTCAAGCCCTATGATGCTCCATTGGGAAGCCTTCCTTGCTTTCCCCAGAGAAAGTGAGCAGCTCCTGGTACTAAGAAGCCATAGTTTGTTGCTTAAACATCTTAAACTCATGACTTTTGAGTGTAGACATGTATTCATATTTCCATTTCTCATTAGACTAAAAATTCTCCTGGGATAGTGAGTTTGTATTATTCATTCTATCTTCCCAGGAACTCTTATTACAGTTCTTGGAACAGGAAAGACAATGAAATATAAAATGAATGAATCAATCTTCCTTCCCACTTTAGTCTTTAGCCATATGATGTTCATGACAAAAATATAAGTTTGAGGGAGAAGGTATAAAATTATATTTGTTTGTTTTTCCCAGTAGAGGCTTACTATCTCTGACTACGATTTCCCACACACAGTGCCATTGCAAAAACACATTTTCCTGGCAGTAGCTGAGAAAAAAGAAGAGAAGGACACGAAGAAATGAAGTGAGTTTTTGCTAATCTGTCAGTTCTGCCATCACTAAAGGTTAATTTACATGTTTTTGGCCTTTTTTCCACAAAAATGCTCTCAGAATACAATTTTTATACAAGAGTAGTGGTCTGTGATCCTGACAAGAGTTGGTTCAAATTTAGAGCAGAAATACCTTTTAGCAGCTGGCAGTTATATGTGCTTAGATTTCCAGTTGACTGCAATTGCAACCAATTTCCTCTTGGGTGGTAGCTTATATTTACAACTTCAAACAACTCATAGGGTGGGATCAGGATCTCCTTTTTGAGGGAGATGTCTTCTACAGGTGCCCCCAGGCAGGTAAATAGGCTAAATACTGTTTGGTTCCCAAATTTCTGTACCTCTTCTTTTAGGAAGGAGGTGGACAGGAACTGGCCAAATCGAATGATGTCACCTAGGTGGGCTTTAAAGTGGACATCCTTTGCCCCGTGATACACCTTATAACACAGAGTGCCATTCTTCTTGATGATTTCTTTCCTCAGCAGCTGAGTTGCTGAGGTCAGGTAGTAGTGTAGATATTTGAAAGAGAATGAATTGTACTGTTGTGGAGATCTGCCAACACTGGCCATGGCTTTAGTGAAGTCAGAGCTAACATTGTTGTTCAAAGTATAGACCAAAATGGCCACAGCATGTGCAGTAGTCATGTTCTTGGGGAGAGCTTTTGCTTGGTTCAGCCAGGTTAAGTGAGCTTTGTGCCAGGCCCTAGAGTAATTCCTATGGCTTTCTAGTTCTTTTGTGAAATAATCTCCTTGATTTAGCTCTTCCATGACCTGCTTGCTGCAGCCTTGGTACTGATCATCAAAGGAATCTGGGGCCAAGTCAAAGTCAATTTTAGTTTCAACCTGTAAGAAAAGAAAAAGCTTGATTTAAAATTTTCAAATTAGATGGTGAGTGTGGTGGCAGATATGCTGTACTTTATGAGGCCAAGTCTTCTCCTCACAATCAGTATTTGCTGAAGTAAGTTTCAGTTATAATCATTAGACTTCACCAATACTTCCTGTATCAGTGATTTCTGGTAGAGATGGAATTAATTTTGATGAATACTACTGAGAGCTGAAAAAATTCATCTCAGAGAAGAAGTAAGCCTTTTTGTATCACTTCAAATCTCGGTATTTTCACATTTTGAATCCTTTGGAGAAAAACGTAGTAACTTTATAATTTACTTGTACTTCTCATTTCCTCTATCTTCTTCCCTCTTCATATTCTTTCATGGGTGTTATAAGGAATATCTGTTTTGCTTTTTTTTTGTAGTCCCATTCACTATCCCACCCCTGTTCAGTTTGCATGTCTATCTATGCACAAAGTAATCAAAGCAAAGGAAGGCACAAGAATTAAAGGCAACAGAGGTAAATACCATTACATACACAATCTTGCAATAACAATAATCTGTGAGTGGATACACTGGAACATTTCTTTTATGAATGCCTAAAATCTATATTCAATCTTTGAGCTTTATTTAAGAATAAAGTATTTAAATGATGAGCAGTACTGGGATCTCCCAGGGGCCCCCAATAAATAAGAACCCCCTTCCTGCTCAGATTCTGAAAATGTTGGAGGGAGGGAAGGAGGGAGAGAAAGAGAGAGACAGAAAAGAGTAGCTATGAAGGCTAAAATGTCATCTTTATTACTGAGATAAAGTTGGGGGACATAGCTTTAGGTCTGACAGCAAGTGGTCTTCTTAACTGTAGCTCCCAGAACGAGACAAGCGTGCCTCAGTCACAGGCAAGGCTGGACTGGGGCCTGACCCGGTAGGATCCTTGTCATGGAGGAACAGAGATCTCATGCCCTTGCATCAGGCTCACTCCCAGGAGGAGAAAAAGAGCCAAAGTCAGCACACCTGGTTGCTCTTCCCAGAGTCACCAATTAAAAAAGTCAGTGTATCCACCTTCTTGGGAGCAGAGTGGCCAGCAGTGTGTCTAGAAGAGTTCCTCCTCTTGAGAATCAGGAGTGGGAAAATGGCATTCTTCTCTAGTGAGCAGCTAATTGGATATTACTTACTGAGACCTTGTGCATATTAATTTGAATTTAGAAATTTGAACAGAAGTTCACTGAGTATCATCCATTTATCATTTAGATCCAAATTTGTATTACTCAAATACCCAAGATGTTTCTTGGCACAGAAGTGATGTTTCCAAAATAGCATCCAGTAAAGGATAGATTAAGAGAGACAACTCTTTAAAAAATAAAAAGAGCAGATCAGGACAGAGGAGCAGACAGATATGGGGGCAAACAGACACCATGACACATGAAGATAATCAAGGAACCAAGGAACCACGGAACCAAGGCCTTTCCCCAGAGCCAACAAAGAGAGAGAGCCTTCCCTTGGAGCCAGCACCCTGAATTCAGACTTCTAACCTGTGAGAAAATAAACTTCTGTTCATTAAAGCACCCCCCCCCCCAAAAAAAAAAGAGAGTGAGAACCCTATCAGTCAATGTCAAGGATGTTGGAACAGGAACACAGAAAGCATACCATGGTATTTTTACTATGTTATTTGTGATAAGTCATTTGATTATGAGTAATCTGGAACACATTTTTATGGTTAGGCTGGTTTTGTTTTTTCCCTGTTATGCTTCTGGGCTCTTTTTCCTCTGGGAATGTGGTTAGTCAGGAAAAACCAAGAGTGGAATGTCATTATGATGATCATTATTGATAGATTATGTAATCCTTTCCTCAATAAATATTTATTAAACACTTCCTATGTTTTAGGTAGGAGTCCCTGGGGGGTACAGATGGTTAAGCACTCAGTTACTAACCAAAAGATTGGCAGTTCTAATCCACTTAGAAGGGCCTGGCAATATATTTGCAAAAGATCACAGCCATTGAAAACTCTATGGAGCATAGTTCTACTCTGATACACATGGAGTCACTATGAGTTGGAACTAACTTGACTGCAAATGGTTGTTTTAGGTGCTAAGGATGTAGAGGTGAGTGAGAAAGCATAAGTTCCTGTTTTTATGAGGCTAACTTTACATTGGACAGACAATAAACAAATCCCCTAAACACAACAAGATATAATAAAAAAAACTCCACTGCCATCAAGTTGATTCTGACTTGTAGTGACCCTATAGGGCAGAACAGAATTGCTCCATAGTCTTCTGAAGACTGTACATCCTTTTGGAAGAAGACTTCATCTTTCTCCTGCAGAGCGCCAGTAGTTTTGAACCACCACCACTTCTTTTGAACAGAAAGAAGTGCTTTTGTTAGCAGCTGAATCCTTTAACCATTTTACCACTAGGGCTCCTTCAATATATAGTAAAAGTCTATTTAAATGACCCACAACAAAATACATAAAAATCTTGTTCCACAGTCTATTTTGGTGAATAGTGACTGGGGTCTTAAAAGCTTTTGAGCGACCATCTAAGCTGCGGCTAATGGTCTCCTCTCGTCTGAGGCGAAGAATAGTGAAGAAAATCAAGAGCATTTGGAAGCAGGACATGATGGACCTTGAGACCAGAAGAACTAGATGGTATCCAGCTAGCAATGCCAACCACTCGGGAAAGGATCAAACCTGGAGATCCTGGATAGAATGAGAGGGAAAACATGAAACAAAATCCAAAAACACAATGACCAGAATTACTGGTCGGATGGAGTCCAGGACCCCCAAGACTGGCCCTGGGATACATTTCGGGCCTGGGATAGAACTCACTCCCAAGGGCTGGCTCTCAGCCCAATAGTAAATAAGACTTACATGCAGAACACTCAACCCAGGGTGATGCACCCACTTGCTCTATGGAGGTACATCCCTTGGAGCAGTCAGCCATGGGGCACCAGAGGGGCAACATTCACATGGAGGAAAAGTAGGACACACAAGAGTGCATAACTAAGAAGGGCACAGGGAGGGGGTGGGTTACTGGGAAGGGAGAGGGTGCCAAGTGGGCAAGGAGACTGCATCTTCTGACCTCCTCTAACTCCACAAGAGGAAGACAGAATCACCATCAGTAGCCCAAAGGCTATCCCTGCGAGGCCAGACATGCCACCTCCCTCCAGCCTTTTCACCAACCTTGACACCAATCGTTCCTCCCGCAGCATCGATCACCTCTATTCTGAGTTCGGTAATTCATTGAAGTGGCCATGCAAAACTCACAGATTATGGCGTTTATTAGGGAGGCAACAGGCTACAATGCAAGTTCAAGAACATGCTTAGTCTCTCTCAGCCCACCGTCTCTCAGCAGACAGTCTCTCTCAGGCTCTCTCCCAGTAGCGGGTGTCTCTTGGTGTCTTTCTCAGCAATGCTTGTCTCTCGTGTCTCAGCTGGCAGTGAGAGATTCCTTCTGCCTCTAGGAGGGCTCCTTCTGAGCCTGGCAGAGTGGCCAAACTAATCAATCCCCACATCAGAATTCTATACACCTGAGAGAGAGAACTTCCCAGAAGATTGCTTCCTGTCATTCTCAACAGAAATATGCTAGGTGGATAATGTTAACATTCAGGAGCTACTCAGTTGTTCATGGCAAATTCCACCATGGAGTTTACTTATGGCCTGAAAAGCCACACTATGTAATTTACTACACTGCAGTGGGTTAGGGTTGCGGATGGTAATTGGGGAGTGAAACCAAATGTACATGAAATGTTGAATGTAAAACAAATTGTGTTCTGTAAATTTGCACCTAAAGCACAATAATGAATGATCTTAGCCAATAACTTTTTACAGCAGGGTTTTAAATAGGTCTGTATAATCTGTTAAAACCAAAACAAAATAAAACCAATGATAGCATATTCTGTCAAACTTTACTTACAATGAAGAACTCTGAAACTCTGCTGGTATATTAAACCCACTCCCATTGAGTTAATTCCACCTCATAGTGACCCCCATTGAGTTTCCAAGGCTGTAAATCTTTAGGGATATAGAATGCCTCATCTTCCTCCTACAGAGCAGCTGGTGGATTTGAACTGCCATCCTTCTGGGTAGCAGCCAAATGCCTTACCCACTATGCCATCAGAACTCCTTTGCTAGCATATTACTAGATCTTAAGTATGTACCTTGCTAACTCTTCACACTAGGTTATTTTTCATTTTATAGGACTGTTCTGGTTACCTAGTTCTGCTCTGACAGGAATATACCACAAATAGGATGGCCTTAACAAACAGGAGTTTATTCTTACAATTTGGAGGTTTTAAGTCCAAGTTCAAAGTGCTAAGCTCTAGGGGCCGGGTGAAAGCCCTTCAACCTTGGGGTCCAGCTCTGCCTCCTGCTCCCGGCCCACTGGAGCTAGAGGTGTTTCTTCACTCAGCAGCTGCTGGCTACTGAGGTTGAGAAGCTCCAAGGTTGACAAGTAAAAAGGCACAGTCCCGATGTTACCAAACCACATGGCAGGCCATTAACTTAAGTCCATTGTTAAGTCCCAAGGTCAGCAGAGCATAGCAGCCTGCTGAGCAACGACACGGCTACATGCAGGATTCAAGCATGCCATAGGCTAGAGACCATTCCCAAGGCTTCTTAAATACAGGAAGCAGACCACATCCCAAAGGCAGCTACTCAGCTGCTCCCAGTAGATTCCACCATGAAGTTGATTGCCAGGCTCATCATGGGGAATAACTACCACCAGCTGCCCAGCCACTCAACCAGGCCCAGCCAAGTTGACACACAAACAGAACTACCACAAAGACTTTCAGTGATAATACTTCTTGTAACTTGAGTTAATCTGTATGATGCAGTATGAAGTCAAATATATATACCAGTTACTGTGGAGTTGACTCCATGACAATCCCGTGTGTGTCAGAGTAGATCACTAGGCTTGTCTTCTGAGGTGCTGCTGCGTGGACTTGAACATCCTACCTTTTGGTTAGCAGCTTAACACATTAACTGCACCATTCCGGGACTCCAAAGCCAAATAAACGTGCTTTATTTTGTGTTATTTGTCCTATGAAAGCAGTGTTACACTTAATTTTTAGAGACAATCAAGAAATAAAAATGCTGCTAGCTTCCAGAGTGCCACATTTACAAACTGTAAAGACTTCCACAATTTTAAAACATTGTTTTCAACACCTTTCTCTGGCATTATTTGATAAAATGTCAGAATGAAATTATACCCTAAGTGCCTAAGGCTGGGGTTGTCTATAAGGGTCGCTCCTAAAGAGATCAGCTCCCTGATTGTCACCTACCTGAGAACTCCAGGTGGGTTTCTGCTGGCTGGAGAGTAGCAGTAGGAGCAGCAGCTGTGCTCTCAGCAGACCAATTCTCCTTCCAGGATCTGCAGTAGTCGAGGGAGAAGTCCTGCTTCTGCTGGTCAATGGACAGCATTTGCTTGTGCTAAAAGTACTTCTGTTTCGCCCTTGCAGCCTCATCCTGAAGTAAGTTCTCAGAGTTCTCCTTTTTGGGTTTCTTTTGAGTGACTCAGCGGCGGCCTTCTTTGCTTGGACCTGTGTTGAGACTTCTGTGGACTATCAACAGCCGGCAGCTTTTCTGAGGTAAGAAATCAGTCCCAAATTATTTGCAAAGTTGAGATCTCTGCAAAACAGCCAGACAAGTACACCAAATAAGGCTTTCTAAAGTAATCTTGAGTTCATTTCTAAATTCAAGAAACCATCCCTGATCTGGCCGGAGTTCGGGGAATTCCAAAGCTGGTTGAGGGTCATACTCTGCAGCTCAGCCTTCTCTTTCCCAGCATGACAGGAAAAAGCACACCCTACGCAGTGTTTTGGGCCCAGCGACATTATCTTGAGCCCCAGGCTTTCACTGTGAGTGATAAGATTGGCATGAGCAGGGCCAGGAGGATGCTCTCTCAAGGTGGGCCAATGTCAGGTCCATCTGGTGGTGCTGATAGGTCCTGTCCTGGAGCAGCACACCCTTTTGGGCTGCTGTCACTGCTGTTCGTCAGGCACCACTGAAACTCTCCAGAGGCTGTGATCCACTGGGTCACAGCTTTTCCCCATTTTCTCTTCTCAAGACATCAGATCTTCTATCTACGTTATTTTAGTCTATCATCAATCATAACAACTTATATATAGCTGATGAAAATAAAAAGTAGCATCCAGGCTGCTAAGTCAACCCAGCAACAAGTGGTATGTTAAACATTTGCAGACACTTCCCTTTCTAGTTCAACTTCCTTCCTCAAATCCCAGTCCCTGGATAATGGTTTTTCTTGTAAATCTTTCCTATTTACTCTTCCTGATTCATTATTTAACTGTTAAAGGAAACTAAATCCTGCTTTGGTAATTTTGATAGTGCTTTTTCAGCATCCTAAAATATTTTTAATCTGACTTTCGTGATGATCAAAGCCATTCTGTGTCATTAACAGAAGTTCAGAGTATCTGGGCAAGTGTAAAGGAGCAAACAACATTACAGGTAACCCACTGGAGAAAATTGTTTTTTAGATTTAGAAGTTGGTGAAAAAGATACTTCAAAACTAAAATAATAAGTAGTTTTGCACGCTGTTTTTCCCTTAACATTATGATATAAATATGTCTCCATATAATTTTTTAAATAATTTTTTATTGTGCTGCAAATATATAAAACAAAACATATGTGATTCAACACTAATGTAATTTAATACTTACTGAAAATGTTTTTTTTTTGTGTGTGTGTGTGTGGTTGCATACTATCCCATAATATAGATACCACCATACAATAGAATAATATGGGGTGAATCTATAGACTACATTATCTCAGAAGCAGATTTACTAGTGAACAGAACATGGATCCTTGAGAGACAGAACCTTGGTTTAATTCCTGGCTCTATCATTTTCTTAATGTTTGTCCTTGTACAAGGTGCATGATCTCTCTGTTCTTCAGTTTCTTCATGTGTTAAGTGCAGATAATGATAATAGTACCTACCTCATTAGAGGGCTGTGAGGATTGAATACATTGGTATGTTTGTAACTCTTAGAAGGGCATCTGACAGCTAGAAAATGTTCAATAAATAAACACTATTATTGTTTGTATTAAAGTTTACTTAGTTGTGTTAGGCTGGGTTCTCCAGAGAAGCAAAACCAGTAAAGCTTATATAGAGAGAGAGAGAGAAAGAGAAATTTATCTTAGGAAAATGGCTCACACACTTGGCAAGTCCCAAGTTCTTGGATTAAACATCAAGCTGGAGGCTTTTCCTGACTCTTGCAACTGCAGGGGCTAACAAGCTCAAGGTTGGCGGGCAGTATACTGGCTCCAACGAATGATGAATCCAAGATCTCCAGGCTGAATGGTGCATTGTTCGCTCACAGACAGTTGTAGGCAGCACAACAGAATCCTCATTCACAGAAGAGAGTCTCTTTTCCCAGGATGTCCACAAATATACTGGCAACAGGGCACACCTCTAGGGAAACTTCCCTTCAATGGATTGGTTGCTCAAAACATATACACCTGATCCCATCATGGGAACAACTCGCATCACAGTTGCTCAAACACCACAGAATTGTGGTCCAGCCAAGTTAACATACAGCTCCAACCTTCACATTTGTCAATATTTATATTTAGTTTCTTTTCAATTTTGTACTATAAGTAACAATTTGTGAACATGTTTGGACAAAAATCTTTGTGTATTTTCCTTCTTGCTATGATGTGACCACTGGCCTATTGGGTTGTGTTATGGATTGAATTGTCCCCCAAAATATATGTTGAAGTCCTAACCCCTGATATTTGTGAACACGACCTTGTTTGGAAGCAGAGTGTTTGGAGAAGTTATCAGTTAAATTAATATGAGATCCTAATCCAATCTGAGTACCAAAACCCACTGCCATCGAGTCGATTTTGACTCATAGTGACCCCCATTGGGTTTTTGAGGTGGGAAATTTTGATGGAAGCAGATTGCCCTCTCTTCCTTCTGTGGAACAGATAGCGGCTTTGAACCACCAACCTTCTTGTTAGCAGTCAAATGCCTTAGGCACTGCATCACCAGAGCTCCTTCAATCCAGTCTGAGTGGTATCCTATAAAAAAGGAGCAGAGACACAGAGAGGTGGAGAGGGACAATGGCCATGTGAAGATGTATCTGCAAGCAAGGGAACTCCTGGTGCTACCAGAAACTGGGAGATAAGAGAGGGTCTTCCCCTACAGCCTACAGATAGAAAATGATCTTGCTGACAACATTTGTATTATTAAATTCCAGAACTATGAGACAATACATCTCTGTTGTTCAAAGCTGTGGTAGTTAAGGTTATATGTCAACTTGGCTGGGCCGTGATTTTGATTGGCTTGGCAGTTGTGACATAGTTATTCTCCATGATGAGATTGGATGTGGTCTAATCACTTCCATGGTGCAATCTGCTGTGAGCAGCTAATCAGTTAAAGGGGAATCCCCCATGATGAGATTTTTTTTGATGTGATGTAATCACTTCCATGGTAGAATCTGCTGTGAATAGCTAATCAGTTGAAGAGGAGTTGCCTTCAGGGTGTGGCTTGCTACCAGTATATCTGGAAGCGCCTTAGTAAAGGTCTCTGGCCATTTGCTCCTGCATTTGGCACATCATCATCTCCAGTTCCTGGACTTGAACCCTGGCTTGCCGTGTTGCATGCTGATCTTGACATTATTGTCTTCATAGCCTGTGGGCCAACAATATGCTGTTTTACCTGCTGACCTTGGATTTGTCAGTCTCAGCAGCTATACTGGCTGCCAATCTTGAGTTTGTCAGCCTCTGCAGCTGCACGAGGCAGGAGAAGCCTCCAGCTTGACATTTGATTCATGGCCTTCAGACTTGGCAGCTTCTTCAACTGCGTGAACCATTTCCTGGAGATAAACTTCTTTCTTTCTCTGTAAGTTTCACTGGTTTTGTTTCTTTAGAGAACCCAGCCTAAGAGAAAAGCCACCTACTTTGTGGCTCTTTGTTGCTCTTTGCAGCCTGGAAACTTGTAATACAGGATGTATATATTTTTTGGACTTGTGGAAAACACTGGCAGTATATAAAATACCCCTTAAAGACATTTTGAATTCTTAAAATTCCTCAACACAACTTGTTAATATGGGATATTGAGGTGTTGTAAAGAGAACTAGAATTGGAGTATGAAAACTTGGATTATAGGTCTAGTTTACCATTTGATGGCTGAATTAGCTCCAAAAAACTTTTAAGATGTTTTGAGCCTCAGTTTCCTTAAGTCTGTCAACATTAAATGAGATAGCAATAATTACTATTTATTGAGTGTGTACTGTGTTTCAGGGCCAATTTGTATATTTTTCTCAATCCACAAGACAACCGTGAGAGGAGGTACAGCTTCCACTTTACAGGTGTGGTTGCTGAGTCCCAGTGACCATAAATAGCTTGTCAGTGATCACATAGGCAATTTCCTGTGACCCACTGTCTTCTGAAAACCTTAAAGGAATATAAGTGTCATTTTATTGTCTTTGTCTATAAAAGTTATGCTAGTTTTCTCAAGGGAGCTCTGGTAGCGTAGTGCCTAAGGCACTTGATTGCTAACCAGAAGGCTGGCGGTTCAAACTCACCAGCCACTCCTCGGAAGGAAGGTTGGGCAATCTACTTCCATAGTGATACTGCCTTGGAAACCTAAGGAGGGGTCGCTGTGAGTCAGGGCCAGCTGACTCAATGGGACATTACAACTTTTCTCAATGTGACTGCCCCTTCTAAAATATGACCACTAGAGGGCAGAAGGAACCTTTTTATAAAGTTCAATTGTCTTGAGAAGGGAGGGAGAAAGGGGAGAGGTAAGAGAGGCAGGAAGAGGGAAACAGAGAGAGACAGGAAGGGGAAGAGAGAGAGAGAGAGGACAAAAAAGACAGAAAGAATTAACAATACCACCTAGGGTAAGGGAAAGTCCCTGAGTTCTAGTTTGTGAGTATGTGTACATCCTTGGAAAAAACGTTTTGTTACAGTATTTTGAGTCATTAAAAAAATTCTTTTTTTGCCTTGATCATATGTGATCATTTCTATTTAATAGGGAGTGCTGGTGGTACAATGGCTAAGCTATAGGCTGCTAACAGAAATGTTGGCTAGAGGTTATAGCCTGGGAAACCCTATGAGGCAGTTCTGTTCTGTCATTTAGGGTCTCTAAGAGTAATCGGAACATGGAATGAAAGAAATATGAAAGTAGGAAAACAGGAAGTTGGCAAAAAATGAAATGGAACACTTGATATAGATATGCTAGGCATTTGTTAGCTTAACTACTATTGGCCATTTTGAATCAAAAAATCATATGCTCTACTATGCTGGGAATGACAAATTGAAGAAGAATGACATTCCGTTCATTGTCAAAAAGAACATTTCAAGATCTATACTGAAGTACAGTGCTGTCAGTGATAGGATAATATCCATATGCCTATCATATGAAGAAGAGGTAATGTGACCATTATTCAAATTTATACACCAACCACTAATGTCAAATATGAAGAAACTGAATATTTTT